TTAAATACACTACTTTACAGATCTTGTCAAGTACTTATGAAAAGAAAGATTCATTTAAGCAGGAGGTCACCAATAAGCCCAGCTAATTTAACTCATAACCTTAACTGAATCTCATCTCAAATATCTAGCAGGTTCTATTCACGGGGGCTTGACAGTCTCCTGCAGTTGTGGTTAACTCATAATCCCAAAGAGTTCCTATCCTGTATCCAAACACTGTTCTGCACAAAAACAAAACAAAACAAAACAAAAACAACCAAACAAGCAATCCCCCACCAGCATCAACAGAATCAGATTTCCTTTAAATTATACTATTGCAAGAGAACGTAATCAGGTTACCTCTATTATGTTGCTTCCTTAAGATTTTCTATTATCTATACTTAATTGAGATACAGAGCTCTTTTCAGCTATAAAGAGGACAGCTACTTTATTAAGGTTTAAATCTGATTTCTTAATGATAGGCTGCTTCCTTTAAAGACTCGAAACCTGCACAACCTTCTTATGATAAAACCAGACCTGGCATGGTTGAGCCTGGTACTTTATTTAAATCCAGCCTGAGAGTCTTTGAAGGGTGTTAGTTTAAAAGGAAGGTCCCCTGCTTTTGTTTCAGTGCTGGAATTTGAGGTTAGCACTTTAAAAAGAGAGCCTGCTGCATCCAAAGCCTAGGTTTAGACTTGTAGAAGGATGGAGAATGCCATGGTAGTTTCTGATATGGGAACATTCTCCCCTCCTATGTGCTGTATACATATTTGCTCAGTTAAAATAAATTAAAATGAATTCATCTTTTAGAGGTTTGTGACAAAATAGCAAAAGCTATCCTAAGGAGTAGCAAAACCAGACTGCGAAATCACTGATTTGAATAATAATGGCAGCATGCAGCCTTTTCCCACCCCCGCCCCCCAATCTAGAAAGGCACAATTTATTATTAATTTCTCAGGGCTTTTGATACACAGATTTTTCTCCTCTAACTCTGTAAGAGTCCATATTTATATGTACAAATTTCTTCTAAGGCATGTATCTATTTAGTCATTAAGTTCCAGGTCCTTAAACACTCACATGGACAGAGCAATAAATCTTCCCTCTGAGAACGCAGCCTAAGAGGGAGAAGTTAGGGGAAGGAAAGAGAGCCATAGAACGGCTATTTATGGAGCCCGGCCGCAGAGTCTGGGTCTTTCCGAGCCATGGTATGTGTAATTATGTGTCTCACTGCAGGCGTTCTGTTGCTCAGTCCCTTTGCCAAGTCTGCTATTCACATACTTTTTGGATATGGCATCAATTAAACTTGAGCTGTGTTCCTTACGACGACCAAATTAATGGTTTGACAGAGGCTTTTTCAATAAACGTTGCAAACTGGCCATATTCGAAGGTTTTAAAAACCGTCTCTTTACTGTTCAAAATTCTGACAAACATGTCTCAAGACAGACCGGGACAACTTCATTATCCTCCCAACCCTTAATGCCTTTTTGTAAAGAAGGCTGTTTAATAACACGTCTGCTGTTTTCACAACTAAATTATTCCAGTTGGTCACACGTTCCAGTCTTCGGCAAGACACTTGTGTTACGAGAGATAAAAACATGAAAAAGGAAATATATTGCAGAAATCAAAAACCTTATCTACTTCTAGACTCTCTCTCTTTGCCATAATTCATTCAAGAAGGCCCCAAGAATAATTTTTGATGTAAACTCAGCTACAAACATATATCACTATGCTGATAAAAATCACAGCCTAAACTTATGAAATATAGTGACTTTCATTTCTTTAGTGCTGTTAAAATAACTTTTTTCTAAGGTTCAACAGACACAAAAGATAAAAAGGGTTACCATTAATCCTTTAAAAAAAGAAGCAGCAGCAGCAGCCCCATAGATTAATTCTGTGGTCTGATGATGGTCTTGAAGATGAACTTTTTAGATTAAATCACTGAATTAATTTGATGAAGATACTGGAAATCATAAAAACAAAATAACACAGCATCAAACTGATTCAGTTAATACATCTTTGTTTGGGCACTTTACAACATAAATTATGCTGAAAAATTTTTGGTTTCTAAATTCTGGCCTCATTCAGTTCAGTTTGAAGACAGCAAACATTCACTGAGGACAACTCTTCAGGCGCGGCGCTAGGGATGAGGGTACAGAAACCAGTTCCTGGATCAATTAGTTGAGGATAGAGAGGGAGGTCCCAGAGAGGGACAGACTTCAAGTCAGTAACTACAGCACAGTTTGAGAGGTGCTGTACCAGAGATGTGGGCGAACTCCTGGGGACAAAGTTATAGAGAGAGCCTCACACTGGAGCTGGACCTTGAAAAATGAGGGAGCCAGGCATGAGGAACTGGAGGTGCCTGTCAGGTAGAGGGAGCGTCAGCGGGGAGGTATATTCCAGGCAGTGGGAACAGCAGCTGCACAGAATTCAAGGTGTGTTTGTGCGCAAACAGTTCACAGTGACCGTAGCCCAAATTCAGGATGGGAAATTAGGAGCTATGAGCCTGGAGTGGTCAATGACTGTAAAGACTCCTAGGCTGAGGAGTCCGGATTCTATTTTGTGAGCCTGTAACTTTCAAACTTTTTTTTTAAGCAGCAAAATCCTTTTTAATTGGTTGACTTTTAAAATGTAGAATCCCAAAGTAGAAAAAAGTAGCGCTCTACTGGGGAGGCCTTATGCCCAAACCTGTCCCCCCCTTCTCCCGCCCCCAGGCCCCTGAGGTCCCCCGAGAGCCTAGAGATTTGAGGAACATGGTTTGGAAAGCACTGTGATAGGGGCACAGGGACTTGGGAAATGTCTGACTGGGGCAGTGTGCTTCTTTGTTCAAGGAAGTCACAAATTCTAGATCTCTGGAGCAAGAGTGAGAGAGAAGGAAATCTAAGACCCACATGTGCAGTTTTTACACAGAACCACCCAGTAGGTCTGAAAATAAGACAAAAAACTCTCTTGCTCGATTGCCAATACTGAAATGGTGGGCCCCACGTCTGCTCTGTATCCCCAAGGCTTGGAACTTGGTATCACTCTCAGAGATGTGTAATACTTCCTTCCTGACTGCCTGATGGCAAGAGGCAACTGGGAGGTGGTGGTTGTGCATCTTTTCTTCCTTCCCTCTTAGATGGGGTGTGTTACACCCCTCACCTTTCAGTGCCTGAATTACACACAGCCTTCCTTGGCAAGTGAGTGTCTTTGTATGAGTGTAAAGGAAATCTGAATCCTGTTTCTAGTTCTTTCCCTAACCTTTCTACTCCAGCTTATCCCTCGATGCAACATGTAAGTGATTGCCTTTCATTTCTCAGAGACATGGAGAATTTACAAAATGTTACTTTTCAAAGCATCCTGAATTCTTGGGAAGAAAGATGCTAGAACAATGACATCTTTATTGGCTGATATGCTGGAGTGAGAGGAATTAGGAAGAAGATGTTTATCTAGAGGCAGAGGCAAGGGCCCCACAACAGTAAGCCATTTTCTGACTAGCCCTTTCTGGCAGCATTCTTGAGGAATCTCCTGATTGGGATGACAGGAATGGCAGGAAGGGGGGAGCGGGTGGGCACGGCCTGCCTCCTTTCCCCCTGTACCACTAAGTTCTCCCTTCTTGCCAAGATGGAGACTAATGGGTCGAAAGGAGGAGACTATGTAGCCGAGCAGAGCTGGATTTGACAAAACAAACACCCACCCATAAATGAGGCAGTGTGGCAGGTGCCCTGTCCATAGGATCCCTTCAGGGGGCTCTGTGCTCTTTAGGTCCCTGTTTAGTCTTGAACTTGAACCATATTATAAACACTTGCTGGCCTTTACATTTCTTATTGTTCCTTTTGAGTATGTCATTCCTTATAACATTTGTTCCCTAATTCAGCAGGCACGGGAATAGAGGGGATTAACAAAAAGTAGAAGCTCACATCATCCCCCAAGTTAATGAATCAGAACCCACTGGGGAGGGGCGTCTGGTTGGCTTAGTCGGGTAAGCGTCTGACTCTTGGTTCCGGCTCAGGTCATGATCTCATGATCTCATGAGTCTTGAGATTGAGCCCTGAGTCAGGCTCCCCACTCGGCAGGGAGTCTGCTTGAAGATTCTCTCCCTCTGCCCCTCCCCCTACTTGTGCACATGCGCGTTCTCTCTCTCTAATAAAATAAATAAATCTTAAAAAAAAGAAAAGAAAGAACCCACTGGGTATGGGCCCTGGAGAACTGCATTTTAAATAGGCTCCACAGGCAATGCTAATATGTACCAGACTCTGACAACCGCTGTCTTGCAGCCTTTCCGAGGCAACTAACAAATTCTTGTATAGTTTAAACTTTTTTCTTCCATGGAGGAATTTCAGTGTGATCTGTGTCCTTTTTGCCTCTTGATGGGACTGAAGTCTTAAAAATGATTAATCTAAATGCTACACTCAATTACTTAACTGCAAAAATATAATATGCCAAAATACACAACCAGACTGCATCTACTTTGATAATTTAAGCAGAGGAGTGCCAACCCAGCAGCGATCTCTTCTGCAGGACCAGGCAGGAGTTTAATTATGAGCTGGTAGGTCATGCAGCTGCCAATAATCTGGAGGGTGTTGACACTTCCGGCTTGATGGATATCTAAATCTAGTCTTCAGCTGCCACAGGAAATCTCCCAGCTTCCCTCAATCTGGCAAAGAAGGAAGGCAGGTCCAGGTCTGACTGCTCAAGTCCCCCAAATGGGAAGAGAAAGGGAGCACAAAGTGAAATTAAGGCTCTCATGAGTCAAATTCTCAGCAGGAACCTGCCCCCCAGGCCCCCAGCCCCCAGGGTGGGACTCCTAAGGTCTGAAGCGGGGCTGTGAGGTTCTCTGCTGCCATCAAGACCTAACAGGATGGGGGCCCATGTCAGGCTCTGGGCACCATAATACAATCCTGTTTGATTAAAATAAATTTCTGGTAATGAATTAAACAGACTCAAGGAAAAAAGGACACGGTGGCAATATATTCTCCTGGCACCCAGCACACAGAAGGGAAGAGGGGGAAGAGAGAAAGGAGACATAAATAAAAGGGACTACTCACTGGGGCTTTTTTCTTCAGCAAGGTCACAGGCACAGAGCAGGTCAGAATCGATTGAGATGGGTTTCTGCTTAATCCAAAACTTAGTGCTGGCTTTCTGATTCGTAACAGGGTCTATCTCTACTTTGTCTCCAGAGATACCTGTAAGGCCGGGGTGGGGGCGTGGGGGGAGGACAAAAAAAGAAGCCACAGAAAGTGGAAGGTGTAAGTAATTTCAGTGTAATCATTTGACCTGTTTTGTAAATCCATCCAAAATAAATTGGATGAACAAGAGCTCTTTCTTACGGCTTTGGGGAATGCCACCGGCTTAAGAGACCCTAAATGGCACACAGAAGTGCACAGCCTGGTTTCCTGGGTGGGTGAGCTGAGGGGAGAAACCACCAAAATCCATACAAAAAAGGTATTAAGAAACATGCCATCTTAGATGTACCACAGATATAATACAGTTTACCTACATATTGTTAACCCTACATAACACCTCCGTATTGTAATGAAATAAACCGTAACAAGGTTCATTTAAAAAAACAATTTTGGTCAGTGGTCTTTTTTTTTTCCTGATCTAGAAAAATCTTAACGCACTAAAAATAGGAAAAATCTATCTTTTCCCTTCTCTGACACTAAATAATTATCCAAGCTATATTGAGAGGAAGTCACAGGAGGATCAAAGGGTCCTTTACATAAAACCTTCCAAGTTTAAGTCTTGGAGCTTGGCTTCAGTCTGTGGAGGTCACTGCTTCTCCGCTGAGGGAGAAACAGCACTGGGTGTGAGCTTTATGCAACAAAGACTTTATAACAGGAATCCAGCATGTTAAATACTGGCACTTCAGGTTTCATTTTCAGAGCTGTGAAAGACGTAACATATTGTACAGTGACTGGGAGCAAAGGTTTTCGGAGAACAAAGGTAATGCCAGGGATGAAAGGTGTCCCAGGATAACTGTGGCATGCACAGCAATTGCTGTCCCAGTGTCACTGAGCAGTATACGCTCAGCTTGACACACACGGTCTGGGCTAGACGCTCTCTTTTTCCCCTTTTGCTGAAAATTGAGGAATCTGTTCATGAAATGAGACAAAAACCTCCAATATGCCTTCCAGAATGGGCCCCAGAGAAAATCTTGAAAGTAATTAATATTTAGGCCATACTTTAAAGGTCAGAGGTGAAGTGGAAAAAAGCAAAATCAAGTAAAAATAGGAGATAATTAAAACCATCAAATGTACATAATGTAAGAAAAAGACAATAAGAATGAATACATGTCATCCCATGGATCACACTCAGAAATTTTTCAATACAACATGAGAAAACTTCGTAGACCAAAAGGCCAATAAAAGAAACAGCTCAATTAAGAAACAAACAAAAAACCCAAATAACACAATGACTATAGTCTTAGAGCAAATTTAAAATTAAACAAGAAAACAAATATAAAAAAATTTCTAGTGATTAGGTCTGCCACACACTCATTTCTATTTTATTTTAGGAATAAAGAAATCGCAAACAGCAGTCAGACAAAGGCAAGAGACTGCATAGACAGACTCCAGTAGAGTCTCGTCTGCTGTCTTCAGAGGAGACAATGCAGTACAGTTGCTTAACCCTGGTCATTTCTATGTGGTCTTTGGAAAAGATGAACAATTGGTATTTTTTTATTAATTGAATGCTGGAATTTGTCATTAGACATATTTCAGGAACACCATATTTCAATTAGGCATAATGTCATAAGTCCAATGGACTCTGGCTGTTCAGGTCTAGATGATTTCAGGAGGGTGAGAATGTATCAGGAGACCAATTTTATTACATTTCACTTAAAATAGATTACGACTACCCAGTTACACTCTTCCCTCCAATTTGGTCATTAATTGTTAAAGATCTAGACATTTCTATAGTTCCCTGAAAGAAGAAAAGTACTTACGCCATGGCTGTTGGTAGCAAGTGGTTTTTTTGTTGTTGTTGTTGTTTTTGTTTTTTTGTCTCCCCTCCTTCCTCTGCTTATTTTGACTTTTATAAAAGTCAAAAACGAGCAGGGCAAAATAAATGTGCATATCTCTGATGTGGAATAAACCCTGCCCCACATTCCCTTCTCAGAAAGAGAGGGGGGAAAAAAATCATCACCAGAGAGGCACGGCTTTAAAATTTTGTTCTACGGCCCCGCAACTCCTGAAGCCGTAGTCAGTCAATATTGTTAATGTACCTTGTTAATTTGATAGGATTTGTCAGGTAACTCCACTGGAAAATTATATAAAACTGTTCCAGATGAAAAGATGATAGTGACATGAATTAAAGTGATAGAACAATAGTGGAATATAAACCAGAAATGACACCCAAAGTGGCTGTTGATTTATTGCCGTACTGAGTTTGGTTCTGGGCTCCCATGTATATTAGTGCTACAAATCTGGGTCCATTTAGCAGAGGGATGCTCATACATACATCACCAGCTCCTGCTCCAAGCCAAGGTCACTCCCCATGGCATCAATCTTTTCAACAGAGCCTACTTCACAAAGCAGGACTTTTGTAACCATCTCAGATGTAACAGACTCTCATTCTCTTTCATCTTTCTTTTATCATGTAAAGTACACTTTAACTTCTATTATTTTTATCTGCAAATTGTTACTGTATAGTTCATCCATTTCGGGCTGTATCTCTGCATCAACTGCCTGCGCTCTGCACGGACACAAGTACACTTTCCCAATGACGCCCTTCCCAGGGGTTACTGTGCAGTCACTGTTCACAGAGGGGACCCCAATTCCAGCGTTTGGGGATGAAGATGTGGGAGATGAATGCATTAGGTTCAAGATGGGCAGGCAGGTGGAACACCATTTAAACAACTGGTGTGTTCCAAAAAAGTTGCCTGTAAATCAGATTTTTTTCTGAATCAAATCACATTTTCCCACTGACTTCTAGTTCCAGAGATACTTTATATTCATTTTGGATTGATCTGTAATTGGCAGGGGCTCCCAACACTTTAGTTTTAAGTTTCTCTGCCCTGCAGGCTTTCAGTCAAGTAGTTAATGATCTGTAAAACACTCGCCTGCCTAGAGGAGTCACTATTTAAAGGAACCTGTAGGGGCATCTTTCCTGATGGGAAAAACCCTTTTGTACATTAAATAATCTCACCCTACTTGAGATGTGTGAGTCTCAGCTTCTTAAAGCAGGGCACACAGCCCACAGGGGTTGATTTGCTCTTTTGCTGCACAAGTGACAGCCCTCTGCTTTCCAGTTTAGGAGGGCCTGAGGCAGTCTAGCCTTGGAGCCCATTCTCCTGAACGTACCCAGAACCCACTGCTAAAGAGTCTCCAGAACCTAGCCTGGAAGCAAACAGAGACCTCTTCTGGGGGTCCCTGGGAGTCCAAGGTGTCCTTCTTGGTTGGAAGGAGGAAGCGGCCTAGTGGAGAGGAGACCAGTTAGGAGGCTGGCACCACAGTCCAGGCCAGGGGCAAAGAGGGGTGAACATTACCTGGCAGCAAATATATGTTAGCTTGGTTAGAAATCCTTTGTTTGCATTGATTCAAATCTCAGGACACCCTAATCCCATTGGTTCCTGTATTTATCCCTATTTTATAGGTGAGAAATCTGAAGCACAGGGAGGTTAAGTAACTTGCCCAAGATCACACAGCTAAAAAGCGGCAAAGCTATAGAATTGGGAGAAAGCCAGGAAATTTGGCTCTAGAATCTGTCCTCTCAGCCACTATGCTATTCTGCAAGAACTGTGCTAGGTGTTCTATATAACAATGCCCTAGGAGGGGTGAAGGTGCTTGTCCAAGGTTGGGAAGCTTTTAAGCCCAGAGCTGCCTGGTTCCCAAGTATGATACTTGCCACTGCTCTGCACAGCCTCATTCAGTTGGTTCCAGACGTAATGAGGAATGCTGCTTAACTAGTCTTTAGTATCCTCTTTCGATTTTTACCAAGGAACAAATAAACATTCAAATGTGCCAATAAACACACACCTATTTTTGTTCAGACATGGCAAACCGGAGCATGAAATCCTATCAATATTCTTCTGTATGACCGCTGAGCATGGTTTTAATGTCCTTGGCTAAAGCTTTTGTGTAAAGTCACAGGTGTGCTCCTTAAAGTGTCACTTAAGCCCTGTTCTTAAGTAATTCAAATTATAAACATACGTCCAAGAAAACAACGGAAGTTGGCTTTCGTTAGGTTTACATTTCTCCAACTTAAATGGCCAATAGAGGAATAGTTAGTCCAACCATGATGGAATACAACACAACCATGAAAAACCATGTCTGAGAAAAGCTTTGACTTGGAAAAATTCTTGTGAAGCTAAGTGAAAATGACAGGAAAAATATTTATAGAAAGGAGATCTAACAGATATGCTCCAAACTGGTAACAGTGGTCAATTCTGGCTAGTAGGATTACATCCTTTCCTTTTCTGTATTTTTCCAAAACAGAAATTTCACCCAAAATAAAAACAAACATCATTTTAGGAGCTGACATTTTCTTGGTTTCTACTTCAGGATTCAGTACCCTTTCCCAACTTTTACAGTGTGGGGAAGGGAGTACGTTGAATCCTGTGATTGATAAGCATGAAAGCAGCCCCAAACGAAGACTACCTCCACCTAGCAGTTCTCAAGCACCCAAGTGGCTGAGCCGCTGGGAAGGGCTCCCGTGGCGGCACTACGGCCACCCTGGGGCCACCCCCACAAACGGCGCCTGGCAGGCTCCACCCGACCAGCTGTGGGAAGTGAGGAAGACAGCATGAGGGCTGGCCTGAAGTGGACAGGGTCAGCCCCTTCCCTCAGAAATAAGGGAAGCTCCTTGTCTTTTTTACCAGCTCTCCTCCCCTACCCACTTATCCATGGCCATCCGTCATGACCTTTTCATGCTCCCACTTCTGACAGCTTCCAGATACAGTGAGTCAAACTTCACTGGAAGCAAACTATCACACCAACTGTCAAAGGCAGAAAACAATGTCTGATTGCTGTCCTATGTCAATGCCAGCATATAAATCCTTCCCTAACAAGACAGCTCAAAATAAACAAAAATGCAACTCTAATGTATGTACAACTCTCTGGGGAAACCATTTGTCCAAGGCTTTAGAGTTATCACAAGAGACCCTCGTCTGTTTTAACTAACCAGAAGATTTCCATAAAAGGAAATTAGCATGTACATCATCTTCTGCTAATAGACTGGTACCTAC